CGTCGCCTGCGACTGTTTCGCGGCTTCGACCTCAGCGGCTTCGCTCCGACCGTCTTTGGGTCCTCGTTTTTACTTTGCCCTCTACTCGACTTGGCAGAGCTCGTTTTCCGCTTCGCCCCTTCCGGATTTCCCTGCTATGTTTGAAACTGATAAAGCCTCATTTGCCCACGTTGTGGGTAATCCTCAAGTGGAGTCGGCGATTGTCGTCCCCTCAAGTTATAAGGAATGTTTCGTGATGGGGATTGTCGTGATGATATATGTGACTGCCCCTTTATTAAGAATGCAAGTAGGAAAAGTGAGAAAACAACACTTTTTTCGCTAACTTAAAAATTTCAACCCTGACTGAGAAATTCAAGTTCGCTCTTATTGAAAAATTTCAGTAGGGGCACTCACCTATGGAAGTTAGAAGAAAAAGTTTTGATGATCTCAAACTAGCAAGAAAGTGGAAAGTGAGACTCATAATGAGAGATATGTGTTCAATTAACCGTGACTGAAGACTACACTCGAATTTTCTCCAAAAAATATCTTAACATTGCAGACAAGTCAATGAAATTACTCAAGTGGTCTCCTGATTTTGACCTCAATCATGAATCTCCTACTGTATCAGTATGGTTTAGTCTACCTGGTCTCAAGCTGCACTTTTTTAATCATCAGGTTATTTACTCTATTGGGGTCATACTTGGAACCCTATGATGCTAGATCTACCCACTTTCAACTTAACCAGACCTCCTGTGGCCAGAATACTTGTATAAAGAGATATTACTTTACCTGATGTTATTGAAATCTGGTTGAGTACAACTTATAATGGATATTGGCAGCAAATCGTCATAGAACATGGACTTCTTTATTATTCTCATTGTAAGATGTATAGGCATACTCTTGTAAATGTCATAAGCTCCACCCTAATTTGAAATCTAAAGATCAAGTGAATAAGGATGGATCTAACCTCACTGCTCTGGACATATATGTTCCACCTTGAGAGAAAACTATCACAGGACAGGATTTGGTGTTTGCTTTAACTCTGTGGACCCCCCCTGACAACACTGTTACTGTGATTGATGTGTGTTGGATGGCTCTGCTGGGCAACCTACACTTTCAAACCCTATTGAAAACAGTACTGAATAATCCTTACCTACAAAGGATAGTGTTCGGACTGATAATCAGGAGAACCTTACGGCTCCCCATCTTCAAAAAGTATCTAGTATAGAGGCGACACCTCATACTTCACAAACACTAGAACCAATTGTGGGTACAACTGTTGGCAATATTTCTACTACAGCTATACCACCTCATCCAAATGAGCAACAATCTTTGGATGAGGAGTGACATGTTTACACTTCCAAGAGAAAGAAGAAAAATGGAGATTTACTTAAGGAATCTAATGGATGCTACTTTGATTACTTCGGGTAATGGTACGCACCTTGACAATTTTTTAGTTGGTTCCTTTCCGAGAACTAGAGGCAGAGGCAGAACTAAATTGGGTCGTCCCGATTGATCTTATATGTAAAATCTCCTTTTTGGGTTTTTTGTGTGGGTTGGGTGCCTATTTGGGCCCACTTATACAACCTATTTGTATTATATATTTATTTATTTATTTATTTATTTATTAAAAAACTTAATAAACCCACCTTATAATCTTCGGCCAAACCTTAATTACGCACCTCACTTCCTCACATGAGCTCCTTCCACTGTGCACGAGAGAGCTTCCCTGTGCGCGAGAGCTGAATCGCAGGCATTAGGGAGCTTCTTCCTCAACTTCCTCTTCTTCGACTCCTTCCTTACATTGCTCTTCTCTTTCTTCTACTTCAACTCACGCACAACTTCTTCCTCTGTTCTCGCACAGCTCGCGAGCTTCCTCTGTCAACTTACTTTGATCGGCAAAGGCACCTGTCGTAGATAAGCTCGACCTTCAGGTAAGTTGTTCACACCTCTGCTTCTCTCAAGCACATTCCTTTATAGGGCGAAAGTAACCTTTAATTTCCGGACTCCTCACCTCGTCTTCCTGACTGTTCGATTCCTCTTCTCCGGCTTCCTCATTTCCCCTCGTTTCTTCTCTTCCTCTCACTAGTTGGTTGTTTGATTCCTCATCCCACGGTAATTGAAATGGAGCATTACAAATGAACAATGCATTCATGAACAATTTCAAGTACATACTGAAGAACAAATACATGCTCAAACAAGTCAAGCACAAGCTAGGGACCAATTTGCTCAAGCTTGACTCATTTACACAACTTTAGATATTTTGTTGCATGTACATTACTATTGTACACATAAATGATACTATAAGGACAAGAATTATTATATTAACAGTATCCTTCATTTTATGGACATCACAACATGCTCATTTGGTCAAGGTAAGGATAATTATTGGTGGACCATCTGATCCAATTTAAAGAAGGTTCATGGTGAGACATTAAATGGATCCAACTAATTTGAAGCTCAAAATCAATAAACCATGAAAACTGCTCAATTTTATCATGATTTTTTTCAAAATCAATGAGACGTTTCTCTCTATCAGTAGCTGTAATTCCATTACTGTTCTCTAAAAAGCAAAAGTTTTATCCTTTGGTGTACGGTCAGAACATGAGCAAATTAACATGAACTAAACAATGAAGAGGTTAAAAAATAAATTCGATAAAAAAACCCTATTAGCAGAGAGGCAATTGCCTATAAGAGAAAATAAGTTTTCTAGGATGTAATAAATGATTGTCGTAGATAAAAAAACCCTATTAGCAGAGAGGCAATTGCCTTCTAGGATGTAATAAATGATTGTCGTGCAAAATGGCATAAAAACAGACAGAAAAATAGTACCTTGGAAGTTGTACGTTCAGCCAAAAAGATTTGAACAAGACTTTTTGCACTTCTAGACAATACTATCTCCTTAAAAAGTCTTGCCTCCTGAAATCGGTAAATTTGCTTAGCGCGTCAGATTGTAAATTATCAAACGGGAAAAGCAGCAGACAAATAATATTTGACGGCTAAGCCAGCCACACTCAAATCCCAGTGCATTTCAAAAGGGTACTCTGCTTTTTTAGTTTGTTCTAACTACATAATTTCTATAAATAAAATGTTAGAATAAAGTGCCAATCCTGTGCCATGTACATGGAACCATTTTAGTCCCAAAGTCTATAAAAGTGCTAAATTAACATCTAAATCTTTTAATATAGGTTGAAATAGTCCACAAGAAGAACTATTTTAGCCCCCTTTAAAAGAGTATGAAGAAAATTGACAGTTTTATAGACTTCGGGATTAAAATGATCCCGACAAAGAATGATGAGACCATTTTGACACCTTTCTCTAAAATGTTGATGCAGACACATTAAAATACTTACTTTCAGGACACCCGCATATCCCCCAAAAAGTATGCCCTCCTCAATTGCATCAAGGCACACTTGACGTTGAGGAATATGAGGAGCAGACTTTTTAGCTTGTTGCCTGGTTGCATGAACAATTTGACATGCTTCAGAAAGAGAACCGAGTTTGTCGGTCCGCTGAAGTGAGCGAAGCCAAGGTTTACGTCTTTCAGCTATTTCAACAGCCCATTGTCTTGCAACCATCAATAGTTCTTTGGGGGAAGCACCAGCATCAATTAGGCCAAGCTCCTTCCCTTCTTTAGCTCGTATAGACTTGGACAGCTGCATGACAACATAGAACGCCGAAAAAAGAGCGCGTTTTAAATTAACTGAGTGCAAGGAAATCAGAGAATGAGAGTGGCACACTTGCAAGAAGTATAAGCTAATATTTTTTAGGCACCTTCGAAAACTCTAACCAACTCATCATACAAATAAGATTTTTTTAGGTTTAAAACAGAAAATAAAAGGGAATAAACAGATAACCATTGGAAAACCTACCAAGCTAGTATGAGAATCTAAAAATGTCACATACAAATGAAATAATGTTGTCATGACATCCATGGTATGAAATTCAGAAGAGCAAATAGATAATTCTATGTTTGTCATGTATTTTAGCAAAAGAAAATCTAGGCGAAAAAAATATATATTATAAGACTATAAGATGGATTGAAGTATTAGAACTCAAAAAATAATTATGGTCATATTACTTTTACAAAACTATTCAAAATAAACTATCCATGTTTATACAATCACCAGATAGGTATTATAAAAAGAAAAGTCCCAAGAAACATTTCTCCAATTTACTCTGTCAGCTAGAAAAAATAACTCCAAAATGATCCTTCGTACAAAAATTATGATACAAAATTGATCTTAATTTCGTCAGTCAATAAAATTGATCCCAATTAAGCCCATAAAGGACCATATTAAATCAATTATGAATAATTGAGATACAAAATTGGAGAAATGTAATAGTTTGGGATTAAAATGACCACATAAGGATAGTTGGGGACCATTTTAAAATTTAAACTTTAAAAATCTGGCTAGGTTTCAAGCAATAAACAAAGAAATGGATTTAGAAAAAACTAAGGCAAAAATAGATAACCCACAAAGCAGTTAATCAACCAATTAGTGAATTGTAATTGGAGCAATGTTTAGAAAATCTTTTGTAACATCTTCTAAAAGGTGTTAATAATATACCAACTAGTGAATTGTTATTCGAGCAATGATTAGAAAATGTCCTTTAACAAAATATACTGAAGACCTATGAGCTTGGGATATGAAAATTCCTTTAAAATATTAGAAATTGCTAAAATTCATATGTTTTCCCATCATTGTGCTTGATCTATCATCTATATGAAGGCGGGGTTGTCAAGGTAAAGGTCGGAAGAGATCCCTTGTGGTTGGCTGAAAGGATCTTAAGTACCAAGTAATCTCAAAGATTAATAAAATTTACAGAGACATTAATAAAATTTTGCAATATGCATATTGTATCCATTATGCAAAGATGGGTTGATGAAGAGTTGTTTTTCCAAACTAGTAAAACCAAGCATTATGCGGTTAGAACATAAAGGCACGAGATATGGAACTCCATAAAAAGGGTGACATAATCGCATAGTTAAATCTTAAAATACTTTTAGCCCATGGTGGTCCTTCTTGTAATCAACCAATTAGCATAGAATTGCTTTTTCTTAACTTCATAGGGGCAGTATAAAAATTTAGGGGCCGAGAGATTTGGAGGGAGGCTTGTCTGTTCCAACCACTCTTTTTACCAAGTGAAAGGTTTTTTTTTTAAGTTAAATTTCAGATTACATCTTGGTTTGGGAAGTATTTACCAATTTTAGAGAGCAATAGAAAGGGAAATCATAGTGGAGTCCAGCACTCTGTCACGATTGATCCCGAAACTTGGAATCCATCTCCCAGGGACTATCAAGTACAGAAATCTGCACAATTCAAGCAACAGGAAATCAGCAAGAGGGCACTTTCCTACTGGAAGAGAGAGGTCTATGTTAACTCCATATGGTTGGATAAATCAACAACTACTGCTTCCATGATGTTCTCATATCCAAATTATTAATAGATGAGTCTTGGTGGCTTGGGAAAGTGAAATCATAGTTTTAAAAATCGATCCAACAAGTCCAACCAGGTCAATCATGAACCAGTCCTCCAACCAGTTTAATCCAATTCTAAAACCGCTTTTACACAGAACTAACTATTAAACCAAGGCATCAATGTATCAGTCCCTTTTTCTTATCAATTGCCCAATTCTAATATTGATTAACTTTTGACTTTTTTTTTTATTTTGACTAGGTAGAAATAAAATATTTACATAAAATTAATTAAAATATGGTAACCTAAAATTTTGATTCAGAATCATATTCAAAATATTCAAGAGGCAAAATATTTATTTGGAATATTATATATTGAATTAGTAAAAATATCATTACTACATTCTTATTACGTACTTTAAATCATATTAAAATCATTTTAATATTTTTACATCTCAACCCCTGATTGAAACTTCGAACCTTGGGCATTCTCTTCTGCCAGTGCATTGCCTGGTCCAACTTGCAGCATTTGGGTAGCTAGGAAGGTAGTTGGCCATTCTAGCAAATTCTGAAATCCCGGTCTCTCTCAGACTACCATGGGAGTCCTAGAAACAACAACGACGGAAGGCCTTACATATAATGTGCTTGAAGCAATAACATGCCCACATTAGCCTTCTTTAAAAAACTACGAGTCACTGAAATGGAAAGAAAGGCAAACACAGTAGGAGGACGCCAGTCAGGTTTGGAATGACAATACCAAGACAAGCCACTAAACTACTGACTTCCTTAATCAAGAAGCTATACAACATCAGGTTCTCTATTTTTTGTTTATTAAGGGCCCAATTGGCATCACTTTTATTTTCTCTTTCCACTTTTATTTTTGAAAATATATTTGGATCGTATAATTTTTATATATTTTTATCTTTTACTTTTAGAAATAATTCTTTCTAAAAACAAATCACCTTATTTTTAAAAATATTTAAAACGCTTAAAAGAAGTTTGGAGTGTTTTTAAAAACAACTATTACAACTAAATATACTTTAATTCAAATCAAAACACAAACAAAAAAAAAATAAAAACATAAAATAGAAAACGAGAGAAGAAACCCCAAACAGGGCCTAAGCTAAAGCCTAGACTTGCTTTCTTACATAGTTTGGCTACCTGATTGTACTCCTGATTTTAACTACAGCTGAGCTGGAAACGATTCAGCCAAACTAGCTTGTATGTCTTCTTTCCCGTTTCCCTGGAAGTGCTGAGATAGCTCTCTCACGATTGAATTAGGAGAAGGAGAACCAAATATTGGATATAACCTTTATGCAAGCTTGAAATGGCTATTCTTGAAACAGGAACCTGGAACTTTGTTTTGTTCTAATCATTTTTTGGGGACCTGTTGTTTTCTGGAATTACCTTTTTTTTTCTTTGTTTGGTAATATTTTTTAGTTTTATTTGAAAGCAACTCGTTAAGTTCTCCAAACATCATTTCAGTGTCAAAGGTCTAACATTAATGAAACATGATAGCTACTTTATAATATAAATTTTTGACAAGAAAAAAAATCCTCATGATGCCCCAGATTTTAATCATCAATGAAAAATACAGCGCCAGGACCCAATGCTCTTATTATGATGTACCCTGGGGTAAGTAGCTGTGTTAAACTACCAAGAAAATCCATATGCCCTGTATGGTTTATAAGAAATGCTTAAATTATGACAGAAAATATGAATGTAAGTATTAGTAAAGTTGAGATTGAGTTTCATGTGAATTACATCAACCCAACTAGTAATGACATTATTGAAAATTTAACATAAGGAATGTTAAATAATATTATCGATTTAGTATACTCATTATTAAAAAAAAAGATAAAAATGAAAAAGTTACCGTAGCCTCTATAACAAATTAGCTCATCATCAAAAGCTTGATGAAAATAAGAAGCAACTTCTTATAAAAATATCAACAAGACGAGATTTTTGGATTAAAATAGCAAATGAGTCCAAATTCTTAACATGATCTTTTTCTTCTCCTTGTTTAAAACATTTACATTTCCTTTTTTTGTAGTTTGCTTTTGTTTGAAGTATTTTCTCTGATTATTATTTTCGTTGAATTATAACAAAGTACTTCACTTCTTTCTAAGTGGATGATTTTTTTTTCACAGTTATTGTTTAGTCTGTCACCCACTACACTCTTATTTAAATTTAATGTTCGAAGTAATATTAGGAAATAATTATTCTTGTGAAAAGTTACGAGGAATGAATTATTTTCTTAGATTTGGAGTTATTTTCTTTTCTATTTTATATTTATTTCCCTAAATTAGAATTTATTTCCTTTCCTATTTTAAGTTTTTCTATTTTATGTTTTTTCCTTTGTCTGCAAATAATTAATAAGAATTTATTAATTAGAGATATTAGGTAATATATATTTCCTTTCATATTATTTCATTTTTATTATCTTTCCTATTTTAGGATTTATGTAAAGGGTTATTTATACCCCCCTTCATTTCAATGAAAATATCTCTGTTTAATTCTGCATTATTGGTATTAGAGTCAAATTTTGTGCCTTAGCCACTGATCATCCTTCGAGAGACGTCAGATTCTCTTCCTACCATCGTCCTTGGGGCAAGGGAGGGACTCATTCTCTCGGGCAACGGGAGCGCACGATCGAAAGGGAGCTCGCAAAGTTGTGGTTGTCCTGCATTTTCGAAGAGGAGATATTTTCTTTTTGCGCCTATCTGATTTTTCCCTGTAACTGTGCTGAAGATCCAATCCCTTGTGAACGTGGTGGACTTCTCTCCCAAGTTATTCCCCCGCTGATTCTCCTCAGTGCTTCAGATTGTTGGAGTTGATCACCCGGAGGAAGGGACAAGGCATATTGCGGTGAAGTTCGACTCTTGCTTGAGCCCATGTGAGAGCGCCGCGGATGATGAGAAGGCTGACCCAGTTCATTGGGAGCCTCTTCGTTGTGTCTATGATGGTCTTGCTAGCCATTGAGGATGACCCCTCTTAGCATAGTGCTAAAACCGAGGATGAAGATGTGGGAGAGACAAGTAACTATAGTGTGGGACAAGAGTGTCTTGATCGGTTATCTATTGCCCTGGGAGGGAACACCAGTTCTGGTTGTCTCTAAGTTGCTTCCACAGCATTTAGCAGCCTCAGAATGACAGAAACACATGCAACATTGACTACTAAGCTGATGATGACAACACTGCTCTTCACATAGCAGCTTTGAATGGCTATGTTGAGTGCGTTCAACTTGTACTTGATTTACATGCCTTCACATTTCATTATGGTTCTTCGATGAATTTGATCAAAGCGGGAAGCACTCCTTTGCATTATGTCGCTTGTGGAGGGAATCTTAGATGTTGTCAATTACTCTTGTCTGAAGGATCTAGCTGATTAACATTGAACTGTAACAGTTGGATTGTGGTTGTTGTTGTCAGGATATGGGGCCATCATGCACTTGAGCATTAACTTGTGCCCAATTCTGATACACGATCATATCAGTTTTCCCGCCGTCTTTCCTGCAGGCCCTTGACACTGGAGGTGCAGCTTTCCCTAGAGGTACAGCTGTCCCGTCGCCTTCCCTGCAGGTCCTTCTCGCAGGTTTTTTGTATGTTCCCTGCAGTAATCTGGATTCCTAGTTTCCAGTAGTCCGGCTTCCCTGATTTCATATAGTTGTTCAAGTTTACAACAATCTGGTTTCCTCGTTTCCAGCAATCCAGCTTCCGTGATTTCCTGCAGCCTTACAACATCAGTCCTCTTGTGACTAAGAATCCTAACGTTGAGGTTTACTCTGGTTCTATCTACAAACATGAGGAGCTTGAGGCTGTTGTCATTTCCATTGGCATCCATACTTTGGCAAGGCTGCCCACCTTGTTGATAGCACCAACCAAGTTGACCACTTCCAACAGGTTCTCACTGTCATTGGGAATTTCTGTCACAGACCCTTCCCTACGACAGGTCCCCTTTCGGAGTTTTTATTTCTATTTCATGCCCTCCTCCAGAACTTTCACTATAGCATACCCTCCACCTGAATTATTCCTGCAACACGTCCTCCTCTGGAGCCTTTTCTGTAGCGAGCCCGATCTCCTAAGTTTTTTTTTTGCAGTACATACCCTGTAACTTTCCTGTTGATTGTCTACTTCCCTGCAAACTCCCATGCAGTATTACCTGTAGGATTCTTCTGTCTACCTACAGATACTGCAAGAACTGCAGTCAAAGACAACCGCAGTTGTTTACTTCCCTACAAACTCCCCTGCAACATTACTTGTAAAAGTCTTCCGCCTATCTACAGACATTGCAGGAACTACAATCACAGACAACCGCAGTTGTCTACTTTCCTGCAAACCCCCCAGCAGCATTACCTGTAGGAGTCTTCCGCCTACCTACAGACACTGCAGAAACTGTAATCAATAACAATTGAAGTACGGGACGAAGACTTCACGTTCTACTTTACATGATCTTCCTCGCACATTATTTGATGTTTTCAAATCAAAGTTAAAGATGATTTTCAACTATGTTCCAACTTGAGAGGGAGTGTTAGAAATTATATTAGGAAATAATTTATTCTTGTAAGAAGTTATGAGAATAATTATTTCCTTAGATTTGGCGTTATTTTCTTTCATATTTTATATTTATTTTTTTTGGATCAAAAGTTATTTCTTTTCTTATTTTACGTTATTTCCTTTCTCTCCAAAATAATTAATATGAGTTGATTAATTGGAGATATTATGTGATATATTTTTCCTTTCATATTATTTACTTTATATTACCTTTACTATTCTAGGATTCATGTAAAGGATTATTTATATCCCCTTTATATCAATGAAAATATCCCCATTTAATTCCGCTTTATTTCGCATTATTCTGAATTTCAACACTTAATATATACAAAACTTGTACTTTCACCTTATATAAATTTTTTTGTTCTTTGCAGAACTTTGTAAAGAAACTAATGACACATTTAACCCTGCAGGCTAATGAATGTCTTATTCATTTGAGTAAATACAAGAACTATTATATTCATCCTTAAACTCTCTCCTTCAAATTACGGGCAGTTTATTGGTGTGTTACGAATAACAAAATGATGATGATGATGACGATATTTTTCAAGAGTTGCAAATGTTCTAAATAAACCTTGAATGTAAAAAAAAAAATCAGGAATAAGTAGAAACACTTGAATGCTGGGTAGCAAAAATGCAAATACTCACAACAAACTCGTATTCTAAACTGCCTCACTTACAAAAGATAAGAAATATTTTAAGAGGAAAGAAAACAATGAATTTACTCACCAACATCATCTCCATGGCCTTTGACAACCCTACCAGTCTGGGAAGCCGTTGGGTACCTACGAAGAAGTTATGAATTTATTGATAATATGCAGGAAAAAAAATACACTAAAAAGGAATAAAAACAAATGTCTCATGCAACAATTCATGATAAAGCAAAACAAGCGTTACCTCCAGATCCAGGAATAACTCCAAGACTAAGCTCAGGCAACCCTAGCTGAGCATCCAGAGTGGATATGCGAGCATGACAACCCTAAAGAAAAAGGTTATTAAAATTAAAACTGAAAATAAATAATAATAGGAAGATTTCCATACAGGATTACATATCTAACACCTAAACTTCAATTTTTACATATATGCCACCTTACATATGTATGAAAAGGTGATAGTTGTTAAATTAAAATAGTGGCACTTTTTATGTGATATGAAAGACTTGGGTGGTATAAATCTAAAAAGTAAAGTTTAGGTGTTAGATATGTAAAAACATAGAAATTGGGTGGTACTTATATAAATTTCACATAATAAATAATAATATTGGTGCAAAAAGGGATCAAGTATCAACAAACCATGGTTAATTCCAAACCACCACCAAGTGCAAGCCCCTGAATGGCAGCAACCGAAGGCTTTTTGGCATCTGAAAAATAGCAACAAACATAAATACACGAATTAAAAAGTAGTATTTATGACACTGTATGTTAGAGAAACATAACGCAGTTGCCAACATGAGTTCAGACCTTCAATCGTATTCACAACCAGATCAACAGACACGTCCGACAAAACTGATACATCCCCTGCTAACAAACAAAATATATTAGCAAAATATCACAGAAAAAATATTAAATTGCATCTTTCAGTTCATCTTAATTTCATACCAGTCTTCTGAACTTCAGCAAAAACATTGATATCAAACCCACCAGAGAATTGTCCATTGTCACCTACTCATGTAATAATTGAAATAAAAAAATCTATTAGAGGCATTAGAACTCAAAATTTGTGTTTCTATGGTTTGCAAATTAAATACAATCAACCGTAAATTTTAAAGCAAATTTCCAGATCTGCAAAGTAGTTAAAATTAAATCAAAAACTTACGAAAAAATTGAAGCCGACTGGAGTTCAATTTATACAAATTTGTTGTCCCGACAATGAGTTTCCATGATACAAATCTAAAGACATTACAAGCCAGCGAAGCAAAATAACGTTGAGTCTATCTTCAGATATTGAGCGGTGCTCTGATTGTTAGTAGGTTATCAAGTTTTGAAAATAAAAAATCCTCAAAACCGCACATACCTCTAGAAGACCACAAAATTTTGTGGTTAGCAAAATGTTTGTACTTTGGTTCTTCTTTGGAAAAACATTGCACCTAAAAATTGATGGGCTCACGAAGCAAAACAATAATAGCAATGAAAACTTCCTTAAATTATTGCAAGCCCGATAGGCCTCTGATTTGCAAACTAATGGTAATGTTGGATTGCTCTTATTGAGTAAAAAAAAAAAAAAAAAAAAAACCCATTCCAAGATTGACGACATAGACAACATTTTTAATGGCAATAAAATCAAACTCTGCAGCTCCTTGAAATTGTTACATTCAATCCAACCATTTGATTTTTGATCCATACACTGGTGGCTTCTGTTTGTTAATCGAATACTTTGGCTCATCATTGGCTGCCAAACAGCTGCCCAAGCTAAACTTGGCTCAAATAAATCCATCAAGTTAAACTAGGGAGGGATCGTCTAGTCCCTTAGTTAAATGCATTAAGGGACGCAATTTGAAAGATCTTGAAATATGAAGGAAAAAAAAATCCCTCCAAAAAACTATAAGCATGCATTATTTCAACATAGTCTGGAACATTCGCAAGATAAAGAAATACAATATTCATAAGAGAATTCCAAAACTAAGACCCTTATTTGGAACCTCCATTCAACCTTTTATGGTATTTTGTCAGTCTGAACTTCTCTTTCGATTCCTTGGACCTCTAATCTTCTCTTAGGGAAGAAGAAAGGTCGCATCACCAATTGAAAATCACCATCTCCCATCACTAACCGATGTTAATGTCTGATATCCATTATCGCTCATTGTCTGACATCGTTGTCGATGAATATTGACATTCATCCACTCCAATTTTTTGACGTCTAACAACCGTTGTCTACCATCAACACAGTTGTTAACCATCGCAACTAAAGATAGCCTAATACAATTTAAATTTCCATATTGTAATACTACCTTCTCTATTCGCTGGAGGGGCAAATTTATTTTGTTGAAGTGCAACTTTATAGCATGATAACTATATGAATACAACAGGTGAAATTACCGAGTATTGTCACATTATAAAAAAAAAACATGAAAGATAAAACACGTATATCAAGAAGCCAAAGAATGAACAATCTAACAATACAAGAAAATAATATAGGAGACAAAAAAAAAATCACTTGGACTGCTTTGCTTGAAAACCGGGTGAAAATAAGAGTTAATATATTAGTTTTGATTATGCCCACATCTAGTGAGCGGGATTTTGTATCTCCTATCTAACAAAACATCTCACTTATAGGAGTGTCGCAATGGAATGAAGTTAATATCAATCAATAATAACTAAAATCGGGTAGAATTAAGAATTTCCTTATTTAAAGTTGTTGAATTAAATTTTGTAACTTAATTGTAAATATATTTTTTTTCCTTATAGCTGAATATTTAGATTAAGAATATGTATTATTACAAATTATTATGTATTATTATACTACCTAAAATAGATTGTATAGACCTTTATTTATTGGAATGAAAGCAAAGAAAAAGGCATTCAATCTATTTACTCAAAACATTGACATGGTATCATAGCCACGTCAAATCGTTTCAGACTGAGTCTTTCGTTGTCTTCGCTAGTCTTTGGGAATCGTTCGTCTTCATCTTCGACTCGAGCTCATTCCATCTTCGTCGACATCTTCGACTGCTTCCTACGTCTTCGGCGTCTTCTACTGCAAATCGTCGAAAGTCTCATCCGCGATCCAATCTTCCTCCATGTTGCGTCCAAACGTGATTCTACCCTGTGTGATTCTTTGCCTGAGGCTGCTCCTTGCTTCATCCTTATCGCACCATTGCAAGCCTCACCACTATTCAATCTCTCCTTCCCTAACCCGACGACCAACCTTCTCCCACTGAAATAGCGCATGATTCTTCCCTGTTCACGCCAAACCTGCTGCCCAAAGTCCGTCCCCCCCAATCTTGTTGTTCAGACCGAGAGCTCCCCTCGGTTTTTCTTATTCGAGCCGAGCATTACATTAAGTCCAGCCCAAATTTTATTGGCCTACCCAAGCCCTTGCCCAACGCAATCTTTGTTCTTCATGCACAGCTATAGCCGCCCGTTCCTATTCACGTGACAAAAAGTTGAATTTTGGTTTTCTTTGGTTTTTTTTTATCTCTTTGTTTTCTTTGGCTTTAGGTAGATTTCGATCAACAACTTTCTTGATAATCAAATTGTGATTGACAATTCTGTTTAGAATGTCTTCTGAAATCTTAGATATTAGATTTAAGCGAAAAAATTATGCAGCATGGGAATTTCAATTCAAGATGTTTTTAAAAATGAATGAGCTTTGGGGTCACATTGATGGGTCATCTCCAACACCTACAGAGCCGAAAAATCTTGGTTAATGGGAGGCAAAGGATGCTCGGATTATTTCTTGGATTTTGGGATTTATCGATCATTTTGCACGGTTAAAGAAATATGAAAATACTTGAAGTGCGTCTACAATCAAGATAATACTGTAAGATGCATTCAATTGAAAGTTGAAATAAGTAATTATAGTTAAGGTAATCTCTCAATTGAACAATATTATTCTGACTTCCTAAATTTATAGAGCAAATATTCTGGCATTATCTATGCTAAAGTGTCAAAAGAGAACTTAGCTAGTTTTCGGGCTATTTATGAAGTGAGTGTCGCGATCAATTTTTAATGAAGCTCTGACCTGAATTTGAAATTGTTTGGGTTGGGTTAATGAATAGAGATATGGTTTCTTGTTTGGATGTATGCTTTGGTGAATTATTGAGTGAAGAACAAAGTTTGACGACACAAGCCGCTATCGGTGCAGTTGGTGGATCATCAGAAATAGTTAATGTTGCTCAGACCCTAGGGAAGGAAACAAAAGAGTGTTACAGTTGCAAAGAATTTGGTATCTCAAGCTACCATTTCACGGGCGTTGAGAGGAACATCAGTAGGAATGACCTTGAATGTTCCAAAGGGAAGAACCAACATCAAATACAGGGCCACCCCAGATAAGAGAAATGCAACATCAGTAGGAATGACCTTGAATGTTCCAAAGGGTCATGAGTTGGAAGAACCAACATCAAATACAGGGCCACCCAAGATAAGAGAAATGTGATTTTTTCATATGTATAAACCCCTTCCTAAATTACCCCGATGAAGGGAGGTCTAACATGTCATAAGTGGGGTCATTTTGTGTCATGCTGAGAATATCACGTGGAGTTATTCGGAGGATATTTTCAGTTCAGCTTGGTACCCCTCGTCGATGTCCAGACAGGAGAGATAATTAGTGAGAATATGAGATCACGTGGAGTTATTCGGAGGATATTTTCAGTTCATCTTGGTACCCCTCGTCGATGTCCAGACAAGAGAGATAATTAGTGAGAATATGAGGGGAAGAAGTGGGTTACAACTAAGATGGCTCAATATATGATTAGTGAGAATACTCTTCTATCTATAGTTCCTCCCAAAGCGTGCCAAAGGTGGATGGATACCTATTCTACCATTATGTGCTTTGAAACGACAACGTCTATTTGATCGACCTATCAGAGCACTTGAAACTGTGCGGGAAGATTCAAGCTACTCTTACTGCACATCAAACTGAAACAACCGTGGGTTACTTCGGGAAGATTCAGTAGTACAGGCGAGACCCATAGTCCCAGAAAATGGGACAAAGATGGGTGTACACACGCAGGTGGAGCAAACTCCTCTGATGGTTTGGGAGACAATACAACCAACAGTGGCATCTAGGTCCTACTAGGACTACAATTGAAGATCCATCCACACGAAAAGCTATAGCAGTTCATCACCATCAATGTGCCAACAGTGGCATCTAGGTCCTACTAGGACTAAAATTGAAGATCCATCCACATGAAAAACTAAAGCACTTCATCACCATCAATGTGCCGACAGAAGCTTTGACAAATGAGATCGATGTTGCCCCAATCCCGAGAAATGTCCAAGGGGGTCAAACTGGCTTTCTAAACCTGAACTGGTTTAGTGAGAAGGGTTTAGGACCAACAGGCCCTAGCCATTGGGCTTGCCGCTAATAGGAGGGGGGTCCAACCCCCTCCACATATCTACTATTCTTTATAGGTTTTTGTGTCATGGGGTTTCAGTTTTTTGGATGTTTTCTGATTTCAATTTGTTAGGACAGCCATCAACGTCCTGCGTTCCCCTTCGAGAGTTATATTCAATGGAAATGGTGGTGCTCCGGTTGTATCCCTTTCCCCACGTGGTGATCATCTCCTCTTATCTTCCCCATAGTTTCCCCTCATGTTGGTTGTCTTACTCATTGTTCCTGGTCAACCCACAACTTCACGGCCCACACCTGCTTCTCCCTAAACAGCTGCAGCTTGTTCCCCCAACAGACCCTACGCTAAATATCTCCCATTTCACCACCCTCTCCCTATTCCCATGACCTACCAGCTGCACCTCCTCTCCACTCCAGTCGCCTACCCCCGCCTCTTCTCCCCATCCAAAGGGCCATCCCGCTAAACTCCTGTATGCCACTAATTACCCAACTGCAAGACCACCCAGTCATCCCTATTATACCTTCACTACTCTCCTCTTCCCCCTTATTGTTGCCCCCACCTCATACCCTGTAAATAGCTATCCTCTCAGACCCCCTTGGCCCCCCTCCCTTATCCCCCCTAGGCTGTCTCCTATCCACCCAGATTCCCTGATAGACCCTGTAAGCCACTTCATCCTGTTGTTGCTGCCCAACCTAGTCCACCTTGTCGCTAACGTCAGTAAACCCATCACCTGCTAACCTGCTTGCTACCACCCACTTTTGTTTCCCTAAACCATTGTCGAGTCGTTAGCCCCTTCAGTCTTGCTCTCGCCCTAGATATTCACATGTATTTGTGTTGTTGTTTTTCCTGCTTTCAAATGTGTGGTTATAATCATTTATTTGCTTCAGGTATTAATAAAGTTGGCTTTTTCATTACCACTTATTTCCTACTTATTCTGGTATCATCTCCACTATAAAATATTTCATCACCTCCTCCTAAAACTTCTAAGATAAAGTTAGGGATTGTAGTAACACTTCTGGTGTCATAGTCAAATATTTGTACATCCTCTCCTAATATAGCTCTACCGATAGTCGATTGTATGTCTTATGTTCCCCTTAGTGTCCACCAATCGTGTTGTCGCGAAACTTCTACAATAGTTTGGGGATGTACACTGATGCCCTTGGTAACAGGCATTGTCCTTGGTAAAGTAGTTGTCCCATCAATGAATATCTTGAATGACTGTTCGGATTTTGTAGCAACGCAGCCTTGATATTCTTCAGCCCTTCATCCTATTCTCTTTTCTGCCTCAAGGCTTCCCAATCTAAAACCATAAGTACTAATAAAACTATCAGCTGGTGCTCCTCCACCTTCCTCAAAGGTGCAGTTGTGGCCTTATTCTCCAGTTATAAGTGATATTGATTCTCAAAATCATATTCAAGTACCTTGGATAGCCACCTCTAATAATCCTCAGTCACCATCCTCTGCTCCAACAAATACTTCAAGCTCCTCTGATATATCCTGACAATAAAGTGTCGCCCCAACAGATAAGGTCCCCATTTCTAAATGGCCAAGATAATAGCCATCAACTCCCGGTCATATACGGACTTGAATCACGTCCTGACGATGAGCACCTTCCTGAAATAGGCAATCATCCCTAGTAGAGTAGTTGTTGTCCCCTCAATGTGTATCATGGAAAATTGTTTGGATCTTATACCAACTCAGCCCTTCATCGTGTTTAATTTCCTGCCTCAAGGCTTCCCAATCTAAGAGTAGTACTGAAAAAGTTGTCAGTTGGGTCTCTTCCACCTTCCTCGATAATGCATCTGAGACCTTATTCTCCAGCCTTGAGCAATACTAGATCTCAAAATCATATCCAAATAACTTCAATAACTACCCCTGATGTTCCACAATCGTCATCCTCAATTCTAGCAGATACTTCAAGCTTCTCTGATCCTACCTAAAGTGTTGCCCCACAAGATAGGGATGTCGTATCTCAATAGACAAAAACCATCAATTCCAGCTCGAAAACGAACTTGAGCATCACCCTAACAGTGAGTACCTGGTTGAAATATAGACCGCTGGCCCTACATGAGTATTGCCTCCAATCCATACTTTAACGTGCCAGTCTCTAGCACAAATGGCCTACTAAATTTTGGAAGTGTTAATACCGGAGAGTTGTTCATGGCTCTCTTCAGTTGTTTGATGGCCTATGATGTTGCTTCTCCCCGCTTGAAACTATCGTTCTTCACTTGTTTCGTTAGTGACAATGCAATCATGTCATACCCTTTCACCAATTTCTAGCAGTACCCAAAGAGAGCTAAAAACCCTCTTAATTCCTTCAAGCTCTTGGCAAAGGCCAATCCAGCATGGCATCAATCTTAGACTGATCTATTGCTACCTCTACCTTGGTTAGCACATGCCCTACATACTCTACCTGTGACTGCACAAAAGAACATTTCTTCAAGTTAGCTTACAATTGGTACTCTCTCAATGTATTCAATACAATTATCGAGTGTGTCATATGCGTAGTTAATGTACGACTGTAGATCGAAATATCATCCAAAATATTAGAACAAACTTCCTGAGCTAAGACTAGAAAGCCAAATTCATGAGACTGAAATGTGGTCGGATCGTTAAAGTCAAACGGCAACACCAAAAACTCGAAGTATCTTTCATAGTTTTGAATGTTATCTTGTTTATATTTGTTGGGTTCATCCTGAGTTGATGGTATCCCGACTTCAAATCAATCTTCGAGAAGATGACTGCTCCAAAAAGTTCATCCAATAGCTCAGCAAACTTATCTAGTAAAATTTTCTTGTTCAAAGCCCTATAGTCTACACAGAATATCCAATTATCATGATTTTTCTTCACCAATAGAATTGGATTGGAAAAGAAGCTCACACTGGCCTGATAATCCCTGCCTCGAGCATGATAGTCCCTGCCTCGAGCATATCTTGTACCAACTTCTCAATCTTATCCTTTTGAATCTTAGGATACTGACACTGATGGGAAGAACTCCAATGTAAAGGTATGCTTGTGCTCCTTGCTAGCTTGTTTAAAGAGGTTTAAAACTGTTGCAGAAGCTATTGAACATACTCGGGGTACTCTATTGACTAGGGCACTCGGGTCCCCTATATAGTCTGTAACTCCAAATAGCCCAAACCTGCCCCCCCAAATCATCTATACCAAAGTTTTGAGTGAGACCATGGTTCTATATAGGCTAGCATCTCCTCTCAGCACCATATTTCTACCCTCCACCTAATCTTCGTGGTCAAGGATTTCCAACCCATTCATCTCCATGATCGTTTGTCGTCACTTCATCCCCAATATCACATCAGTGCTTCCCAAGTCTAAAAGAAGGAAGTCCTCCACCACTTGTAGGCCTTGAAGTGTCTAATATTAATCTCCTGCAATTCCTCGACCTTTATCCACCTTCTCTGTCCCCAGCATGACCCCAAAACTTCTCGTATCTACTAGCTTCAATACTAGTTGGCAACGACCCAATTTGAGATGAAATTGAGAGTGCCCCCTTACCCATCAACACCACTTTGGCTGCTCCCCGATCTATCCCCTCACCTTAGTGGTGTGATCACACCAAGTTGAGGGACACCTCCACTACATCCAAGTGTAAGTTCTCCTCTTCACTGTTTATTCCTCTGACTTCTCACTATCTACCTCCTTCCCCTCACAAACTAAAAGGACATGAAGTGTGTGATCCTTGCACTGTGGCTTGGGGCGTACTTCTCATCACATCAAAAATATAATATCATTGCTCTATTGTCCTGCACCTTTGCCTTTGTGAGATGCTTGAAGTTGACTCGGGATGGGCCCCTATATTCCTCTCCTTAGGCGCCTCCTTCTAAAATGACACTGTATGGGTTTTCGGTGTCATGGTAGTCAAGTTACTCTTGTGGAATCCACCTGTGTGCCGCTTTTTTTGGTCTTCTTCATCTTATTCTTGTATTCCACCATCTGAGCGAGCTCCACCATCTTCTTCAATCCCCACAATCTCAATAGTCGGAGTGCTGCTCGTATGTTGAACTTTAAACCCTTCATGAAGTTCTTCAATATTGCTTCAAAAATATCCCTCAGCTATCCTGAAAATATCTAGAATCTCTGTATATAATTCATGACAGTCCCTTTCTGAGTTAAGACATAGAATTACTCGTGTAGGTCTCCTTCCCAAATGGCTCTGAAACGTTCCTACAAACAATCCTTAAATTTCTCCCACAAACGGATCTGGTATCTAGCATCCATCTACTAAAACTAAGCTAGGGTTTTCCCCTTCAAACATAACTCTCAATAGACAAAATGTTGCTCGTATGTCGAGCTTTAGGCCCTTTATGAAGTTCTCTGATATTGTTTCAAAAATCTCCCTCACCCGTCCCAACAATAGTTAAAATCTCTCCCTATATTTCATGACAAACCCCTTCTGAGTTAAGGCATAGATATATTCGTATTGGTCTTCTTCCTAAATGACTCGGAAACGTTCGAACAAGTAATCCTTAAATTCCTCCCACAAATGAATTGGGTATCTAGCCTCCATCCACTGAAACCATGCTTGAGTTTTTCCCTCCAAACATAACCCAGCAGTCATGAGCTTCTCCTCCCCATTTAACACATTCAATGTAAAATATCGCTCCACCAGATATACCTACCCATGTGTGTATTCCCCCTCGAAGACCGGCATCTTCAACTTCCTAATCCTTCTAGTGTTTCCCTCCATATATCTAGGGTGAAACTCCCTTCTTCGATCATATTCATACCCCATTATGGTTTCTCTCCTTCTTCATGCTTCTCCCAACCCCTTGCATAATCCCTCCATATTTCAGTCCAACACCCACCCTCGGAAATCTCTAATCCTCCCTAAGAGTCCTAGGGAGAAGTTTTTTATGATGAATGCTTTCCTACTCATGTTCCTCCTGTTCGATTTCTTTTCCTTTTGATCTGGCCCCAAATTTTTCGATCAACCCTTGGTTAGGATTTGTAAATTGAGCTGCTAGTGGAGCCTTGGATTGTATCTCAATAAGATTCTTTATCATCTCCTACAACTTCTTGAAAAGGTTGTCAATGGAAGAAAATTTTTCCTCTATCCAGAATTTAAGTTGTCCTACCTCTCCTTCCAATCTTTCTTCCAAAATATCAACTTTTCTTGTTGTCATTTCTTCAAGATCGTGCTTTAATATCAATTTGATACAAACTGAAGCCAAAATCAACGAATAACCTGTGAGAACTAGGTGGGAAAAACCCAAATTATGGCTAATCAATTAATAACAAAGCAAATAAGCAAGATACAAGGGTGATCTACAATTTGAGAGTTAAGTCGTCTCTCCAAAAAACCATAGACGCCAGTAGGAACAAGACAACAAGAGGAAAAGATGTATGAAATAAAATATAAAGTAAACCCTAACTACTTAACCCTAATAAATATCCCTCACGGTATATTCAAACTTTCCCCACAAAACCCCTTTAATTTCCCTTTGTGTGTGCATAATTAAGGGTTGAGTGGGCCCCACCCACATACTGGAATCATCCCCGACAACTAATAGGGGTTTCCGCTCCCCTAAGTTGGGCCTGCTGGTGTTGGGTCTGGTCGGTTCGGACCAGTCCCTCCTGGACCGACGGGTGTGCAAGATTTGGAACCAGCGTAAGAGCATCAGCAACACGAGCAAATAGCGTGTATTGCAAACTATAATTATTGGATAGAATGCAAAGCAATAAAAAATATGAGATGTTTCAAAAGAATGCCTTCTTGCAGCAAAAGTGAAAATGCAATCATTTTAAAGCCTAATTATCAAATTTTAGCAACTTATCATGCAAAGTCTATATAATTCAATATAAGAGAATCACAATTCATAATATTAGAATCTCATCAAAAGCGAATATCTTCATATTATTTAATCACCACAACAACAACAACAAAGTCTTAATCCCACTACGTGGGGTCAGCTACATGAATCTTTTTTCTCCATTGCGTCCTATTTAGTACTATTTAGTATCATATTTTCATTTAGTTCTAGTAAATTAAAATCATTTTTAATACAATAAGCCCAAGTCTTCCTAGGTCTATCTCTGCCTTTCTTAACACAAGCCAAATCCAAAACATCTACTCTCCTAATTGGATCATCTGATAGTCGACGTTTAACGTGACCAAACCATCTAAGACGACTTTCTCTAATTTTGTACGTCACAGGAGCTACACTAACCCTATCACGAATATATTCATTTCGCATTTTGTCTCTAAGTGTAAAGCCACTCATCCACTTAATCATTCTCATCTCGGCAACACTTAATTTATTAGTATGATTCTCTTTTAAAGGCCAACATTCAGCGTCATATAGCATTGCAGGTTTCACCACTGTCTTATAAAATTTTCCTTTCAGTCTAAGCGGTACTTTTCTATCACACAAAAGGCCCGAAGCATTCCTCCACTTCAACCAACCAACTTGAATTCTACTATTAACATCGTCATCTATATCACCATCGCTTTGAACAACGGACCCAAAATATCTAAATCGTTCACACTTTTAATAATTTGATCACCCAAAGTCACACTTCTGTCACTAGAGCTATTACTACTAAAATTATATTTCATGTATTCAGCTTTAGTTCCACTTAAATGAAGGTCTTTAAACTCCAATGTAGACCTCCATAATTCAAGTTTTTCCTGGGCTTTTTCTCTTGTTTTATCCACGAGAAGGATAACATTAGCAAAAAGCATACACACCGAATGGAATGTACCACCATCTTATAAAAAAGAATAATCATCATCATTCGAATAATCCCAACTTAATAATAAAGACTTAAAAGAGAGAATCTATTTTTGAGCGAAAAAAATCATCTCTTTATACCATCAATCTTTCAGATTGGTAAATCCAAATCTAATGAGGATCTAAGATGTTGAGCCACCAATGGAATGAATAAAAATCAAATTTTAGTAACCCTTATAATTGCATGAGCAAAAACAAAAGCTGATTAAAAGAAAACCCCTGCCTAATAAAATTGGTAGAAATTACAAACATACCAACATTTTGTTCAATTCATTTCACTTCAATACTTAAAAATTACACATTTATCAACTTCATTTAGCAGATGTTGTCGGATGAATCTGTTATGGAAAGTAATAAATCTAAAACATGTATATTAGGAAGCTTGAAATTAGGTAATGTAATTAGAGGAGATCTAATAATAGAATTTTTTTTATATTAGAGAAACTTTAAATCTATAGGGATGGAAATGTATATAAATATTTAACATATATTTTCAATTGAGAATAAGAGAAGCAGCTACATTCCTTTACAACATGGTACGTTGAGGATGCAATTAATCATGTATTGGCTCTTTGCTCTGGTTTACGAAAGCAATTCAATAGATATAATCAAGGAGGTTAAAATGGATTGATGGTACCTTTAGAACCTCATTTGTTTGTGAGGAGTTTTAAAGACTAATTTTCTAAAAGTTCGCAAACGCAATTGCTTAACCTTTTTTTCTATTTTATTTAAACATATCATTAAGTGTTTGTTACGGATCAATTTTAATTTTTGTTTTTGTTTCTATTTTTTCCTTCGATTTAAAAAACATGTTTATTTAATATGTTTTTAACACGATGTTATTTTTTAGTTCTAAAAATAAATAAATATATTTTTAAAAGCACTCAAAATAACTTTTAGGTGTTTTGAGTGTTTTCAAAATCAAATATAGCAAACATGTTTTGTTTCAAATTAAAACATAAACAAAAACAAAATAAAAATAAAAAATAAAAAACAAAAAATAAAAGTGATCCCAAACGTCCCCTACATGTACAAGATACATCCCTAAAAAATTATTTTAATCATGCACAAATCTCGATGCATATTTTGACCAAGAGCTCTAAATAATTAATTACTTATACTACAATTCAAATGACGTGTTTGATAAGGTGAGTTAGCTGACATTAAACATAGCTTGATCTGAGTCCAAGTGAGCCCACATCAAGCACTTCTTAAAAGCATAGTAAGAATCATTGAGATATATTTTAAAAAATCAAATGATCTCCAAATCTAACAAGTATATAGTTAAATCAAACATCTCGACAAGCCCAATATCGTTTAATTCTGACATCACTAAGGCACTCAAGTGTCGCTAAAATATCCTCCTATCCAAGAAAATATTTTGGGTCGCCCGATGGAGATGTCTGAATTCTAACAATATTTATAGAGGATGTCACTACCAAAATTTATAAATAATCCCACAGTTTTCATGAAATGAGAGAAGAGAAGACTGAATGAGCTCCAAGGTCTTGATATTTCTCGAGCTCCACCACCACTGGACCATCATTGTCGACTCCCCACCATTCTCAGACAACCGTTGCCCGACCACCATTGTCATCTCTACCAGAGCACCGCAGTTGATCCAAGGCTATCATCGGACTACCGTTGCCCAGTCACCATTGACATCATTATTGTACCACAGTCGCCGAGCTGCTGTCATCGCTTGACAACTGTTGCACGACCACTGCATTCACCATTGCCATACTATTATTGTCTGGCCACCAACCGACAGTCAAACCACTGTCGTTGAGCCGGCATCATAGTCAGGCCATCGTTGCCCGACCACGATTGTCATCGTAATTGGACCACCGTCGTTTGGTCGCCTCTGCTACCGAACCATTGTTGTGGCCACCAACCGACAGTCAAACCACTGTCGTTGAGTCGGCATCATAGTCAGGCCATCGTTGCCCGGCCACGATTGTCATCGTAATTGGACCGTCGTCGTTTGGTCGCCTCTGCCACCGAACCATTGTTAATCAGCCATCACCTTTATTGTCACTGAACCACCACAGTTGGGTCGCTGCTACTATCAGACCACAGTCGCCCAGCAATGGCCGCTGGATCGCCGCTGTCAGGCTGCCACTACCTACGAAGCTGGCATCCTATTTTTTT